GGATTTCTAGATGTACTTTGATTTCAGGTTGAGGTGAACTTTTTTCAAAGTGAGAAAACTAGTGTCCAGGGGCTCGTTTCTCGAAAGCCCTGGAAACTTTTCGGGCCACAATGCCATTTTTAGTTAATCGGTATTTAAAGACAGAGAGGTGTATATGCCTGAAACTTCTTGTATGAAGGGAACCTCTGTTTATATTAAGAACATGTGCATAAAACAGCTCTGAAGTCATAAGGTTTAAGATTTTGCTACGGCTTTTCGGGTGCAAAAACTTTTTGGGACCTTCGAGAAACAGACCCCATGTCACCACAGTCCCAAAGCTGACTGTAGCCCTTTAACACCTATGTAAGCTTACCTTTTGTGAAACCAGTTTCACAGCTGCCAGGTCATTTTCCAAGTCAGTATCAACAACAGTCCCACTAAAAGATCTACCGTCTCTTAACTTAACATTTACATGAACAGCATTTTCCACAACATGAGCATTTGTAAGCACCATGCCATCCTCAGTCACTATAAATCCCGAACCCGTACTAGTAGGACCAACATGACCCCTAAACCCGAATCCCGCGTGTCGTCCCGTGATTTCTATGTACACAACTGCAGGTGCAGCTTTTTCTACAGCATCCGCAATGAAATTGAATGTCGCTGAACGGGGAGGTGATCCTGAATTTGACGAATTATTTTCATCACTTGTTTTTGCTTCCACTTTGAAGTTACAAAGATGACGTTTGGGTTTGTTCAACAATTTAGGTATTTGATATCCGAGGGAAACACCGACAGCTAACGAACCAAGCAAACTCCAAGGAAACCTTCTAGCCATTTCTTTCGTTTCCGTGCTGAATCTTCTACATACAGGCTGAATTTCTCTCGTTTTCCACTTGCATGAAAACCATAAAACCTCTCGAAATTTGTTCCATCTTCTGGATGAACTAAGAGCCGCCATTTTGATCAAAGTTTATACTGGGAATCTGGGAACCAGACTTCCCGACATTGCTAGGGGTCATCTAGACCCAGTCCTCTGAGCGGCGCTATTCCTCTTAAGTGCAATCTGAGCTATCGAAAATTAAAATTAGCCCGGGTAAGAAAACCTTTTCAAAATCAAACACAAACCTGGGTATGGTTACAGGATTTTTACGGCATTTCTTAGGTTGCATGAAACTTGACACAAGTGCTAACTTGACAAGTTTTTTAAAGCAGATTATCCAGCTCACATTAGCTCACATTCTCGACCTGCAGGTCACATCCCCAAAATTCCTTGTCACGCATAACCAGTGCCGGTGTCACAGTGATATGTGTATCCCCGTGATATGTGTATCCCCGCACACATATCACTAGTGATATGTGTATCCCCTCCAAGATGGCGACCAGTGATATGTGTATCCCCTACCCCGCTCCCCTCTACTTTAAATAACAATATCCTTCTTGAAAGCGCTCTCGTCGTCCGGTCGCTTACTGGACGAACGACTAACCCA